GACCACGAAGAATAAAAAGGGCCCTGGGCCAAAGGAAGCAACTCTTCGTAATTGAGGAGATACGCTGCCCGTCGAGCTGCAACTGACAACCCAATCACCAGCAGGGCTGCGAGAGTGACGCCACATTGGCAAGTGGTTCGGCCGACATGTCCGTTGCATGCTGCATATTGAAGCCCTTCCCAAAGCGTCCTCGTCGCTTCGATCCAGAGGGCTCGCGATATATTGGCAGGCACATTTCATGCGCAGGTTAGGTAGGGCGTTTCGTAAAGGCGCGGCCAATTGGAGGCGCAAGCGTAAGCCATCCAACAGGCACAGGGCGCGAATGGGATCAAGGCGTTTCGCCTCAGCGTTCCACGTATCTCGAAAAAGGCCGTGGAGCATGGAGGTGCGGGACGGGAAGTCCACGGGTCAACGTCGGCTAGAAGCAGGCGGAGAAGCAACTTTGCAGCGCTTTTCAGCCTCAGGCATGCCCGAGTCGTGCTCATTCGGCGGCACATCTTTGCTCCTGTCGGCGGTGAGAGTCAGGGCCGTGCATGAGCAGCCAAACCAAAGAGCCATCAACAGCCCTTTTCGGCCGCGGTAGATACTGGTGAGCTGCGGAGCTGTGCTCCGTTATGTGCTTGGTCTGGTAACTACGCGCTCTGCAGCAGCCAATGGCTCCATGGCCAGATACGGACCAGCTGCAAGTCCCCTTAATATTAGCGCATGCATGTACTCGCAGTACTGCCCGTTGTAAAGGTAAGGGACCTGCCGTAGCTCCCTCGACGCATCGACGCCGGTTTGATACGGTGACTTGGTAAATTGACTAATTTCTATGAGTACTGTACGTTGCTGTGATTCGTACTGACACATACAACCTGGCCGCAGCGTCTGTATCTGGCAAGATGGATAGCTCGTTGTACTCCGCACTTGTGCCCCGTACACAGCTTATGCACCTTTATCTAAGAAAACACAAGCCGTCGTATGCCAAAGGTGGACAGTGTGCTCCTCCTCCGCACATGTCTTTGAATGTTTCCTAAGCAATAATCGAGGCCTTGGGTAAAGAGACATCATCTCAATTTGATGAGACATGTGTTCTTGTCGTTCCCGGTCAACGCCAAGGCTGAAATGTCTTATTACTTTTATGTGTAAGCTTAAAAATAGGAGGACCAGCCTAGGCCAGGCTGTGTGAACCAATTCCTTCGGCCGTCTTAGACATGATTGACTTTTTGCATGTTCAATTGCGCTCCGGGGATTGGCCAAGACAGCAAATTTCGTTGAGACAAAGCCAAGAGCGAATTAATCACTTTTTCACCAAGCTAGATTACAAGCTCGTAGATATCAGTGGGGGTTCCTCAAGCTTGGAGATTCGATGGCTGGAGAAACACCGGACACCAGCGTTAGCGGCCTCGTCTCTCCTCGGGCTGTTTTATGATTTCGTGCCCCTAGGGGTGCAGCGATCGCAGAATAGAAAAAAATCCGGCAAGGTACACAGTGTATCGTCAATCAGTGGCAGACTTTTTGGTTCTAAGCCAGCCGCTAGCTTTCTGGTCCGACTGCTTGTCGTTGAAAATTTGTCCTAGCAATTTTTTTTCCTCGCATTCTCGCTAGTAAAACGATCGCTCCGATAATGGGGGCCCCCAGCCCACCGACGACAGCCGCCCTCTTAGCGGCTAAGCGGGCTCTAATAAAGACGAAAGAAAAAAAAGTTTCTCAAGAAGGAGGGGAGCGAAGAATTAATTGGCGCATGGGGACAGACGTTGGGGTTGGGGAAATTTTTCCTCTAGACGACAGAGCTTTAAAAATTTTTCCTTTCTTGGTGTCCACCTTGCAAGGTGAGGCTGCATACTTGGCTGCTCAGCTTGCTTCCCTTTTCGTAAATACAGTTTGGCTATAAGCGCGTATACAGACTTTCCGTATATGCATGAATTGATTGGTATCTCACGCCCGAGGCCAGAGAAAGGCCCTCGTGTAAAGAAAAGGGGGCTCGTGTGAATCCCAAATCACATTAGACTATGAGCTTCTTTGAGACAAATGTTTATCTGAGACATGTCTATCTATCCAGAAGTCTAGGTCTCTTAGCTTCGACTCGTGAGCAATGGCAACTTGATGCGAAGTCACACCCTTCTCTTGGCGCTTGTAAAACGCATACATGGAGGCGTGCTACCTTACACAGATGAGTTAGTTGACATACCGCGCTGTCGCACATGGGCTCTGGGCATTTCTGGTGCGGCACAGCAGCAAAGTGGCAGCGATAACGGAGTCAAAGGGAGAGAGTTTGAACGCAAAAGTCAAAATTGTGCTTGGGTGTGCTGCCACCCCTTGAAGCCTTCCGCAGCCCATTCCGAGTAAAAATCTTATACCGCGTAGGGGCCGAATTATGCTTCCCGAGCGTTGCGGGAAACAAAAGCTAACAGGATATGGCCACACAGAATTCTAGGCCTTTGCAGCTGCTTGTGGCACCCTACAGAAGCTACCCCATTCCACGGTGTTTCTGGATAATACGGCGTTTTGGACCCCTCCAGACCAGAGAGAGGGCTGAACAGAATGAACTGACATTTAAAGATGGGAAATGTCACTGGAGACAGAGTTACAGCTACTATGCCGCATTCCTGTAGTGTAATTGGTGTATATCCATGCCGAGCTTGCCTTGCGTGTGATCCCCCTCTGGCATGTCTAATGTACAATAGATTAGCTATTACTTTGATATGGCCGTTGACGTTACCTTCGTCATTGAATGTTGACACAAACGTAAAGCAGGAAGTAATGTCGATGGAAGCATTCTAATACAAATTCAGTCATGCAATCACTTGTACCATATGCGGCCTCCAACCTGGCTTGCTCAAGTTCAATCTCTAGTTGTTTATCTTAATCGATATATTCACGCCAACTCGTGAATGTTACCGCGTGAGGCCATTCAGAAAATGACGTCCCAGATTGTCAATGATGCAATTCAATTACTGAGCCTATTTACACATGTTGTGGTCACATAATTCAACTCCCATTTATCAAGCTTATCTGTTTGCTTGAGTAGCTGTCTATAGTCACACGCACACATATTCAATCGTCTGTTTCACCAGCTTCCTAAAGACGTTTGTTAACATGTTTGTACCTACTCTGACTGCTACCAATACATCTTCCTTATTGTAAGGCGTTGTTTAACCGATGTCTAAGTCTCTGTGTCTCTTTTGAATAATAAATTAGTGTAGCCGGCATTCGATATATCCAAATATGTTCACGATAATTCGTAGCTCTCTTGTAACATTGAAGTTGCACATGAGGCTCACTAGAATGACAGTTTCGCGAACTTTCACTTAGTTTACTTCCTCCATACTTCTACATTAGCCTCGTAGGCTACAATATGAGCCTAGTTTTCTTCTAACTGGTTTAAAAGTGACAAAATCAGCAATATCTTATCGAAAACCAGCTCTATACAGAGAGTAGAGCCTTGTTTCTCCAGGTTCAACGTTGTAAGTAGTAGCACCCTGTATCGCTCTCAGGCACAGCTTTGGCGTATATCAAGGCAGATGGCACCTTCCAGACTTGAATGATCAGAAACATCACTCATTTAATGCAATTTCAGAAATTTTCGTAGCTTATCAAAGTTTTGCAGCCTTTAAACCAATAATTCAACCTGTCCAGCTTCGAATCATAGCAAGACATCGTCATATGAATCAAATCACGTGCTTCCTCACGTGCTGCGGCAACGATTTTCCCGCTAGCCGAATTAATGACTGCAGTCCGGTAAAGATTCGTGCCAGCGGCCTCAATTGAGCTCAACACAAGTAACGACTCAATCGTCCTCACAGTCACCATGAACTCCCTCCGTGTTGCCCGTGTGGCTCTTCGAGCTCGCCCTTCAGCCATGCGAGTGGCCTTCCAGCGGAGAGGATACGCCGAGGCCGTCCCCGACAAGGTAAGGGATGTTCCGGAGCCTCGCATTCAAGAGGCGTGCAATTTATATATCGCTAACTGAAATTTTTATAGATCAAGCTGAGCTTGGCCCTGCCTTTCCAGGTATGAATAACTGCGCCCCGAAGAATCGAATCTTACTGGAAATGCGATCCGATTGTGCTGGAGTGGAGGGTATGCGACGCTCGACAAATGTTCCCGCGATGCTAATTACCGCAATGCTCTGCAGTCCATCTACAAGTCCCAGGATGTCGTCCAAGTCAACATCCCCGCCGAGTCCGGTGACATGGGTGTTCTCGCCAACCACGTCCCTTCCATCGAGCAGCTCAAGCCCGGCTTGATCGAGGTTGTTGAGGAGAGCGGTGCCGCCAAGCAGTTCTTCGGTGCGTTGATATAACCCCTCCGAATTGCAACTCTATTACCGATAGCAGGACTGACGATAAAACGATCCTATAGTGTCTGGTGGCTTTGCCTCTGTCCAGCCCAACTCCATCCTGAGCATCAACGCCCCCGAGGCTTACCCCCTGGAGGACTTCAGCGCTGACGCTATCCGTGCTGGTATCGCCGAGGCCCAAAAGGTCGCCAGCGGCAATGGAAGCGAGCAGGATATCGCTGAGGCCAAGATTGAACTGGAGGTGCGTCAAGATAAAATATGGCTCTATTCGCGAAACAAACAAGCACTAACATGCTATCGATAGGTTCTCGAGACCCTTGCCGCCCATGTCAAATAAACGATTATAGAAATATAAATTCCTGTACAACTTTTCTACCTGTCTTTAGCGCAGAGCCGAAACAATTGATTCCAGTTGCGGTGCTGTTACATATAAGAAGTTGCATCTCTGCTGCTTTCAGCAGACTCTCGGAAACTATGCGTTGCTGTATGTAGGCGCGGTTCCTAGACATAATGAACTGAAATCATACCCCTCCTTCCTCTTTATCTCTGTAGGATCAATCATCCTTCCCAATTGGACTTGATGGCAAGGCAACTTCTCCCTTGCTTGTTTTGAACTTTTCTTCTTTTCAGAAATGCTTCTGGCGTTTTCTTCTTAACCATACTCGTTCATTATATCTTCTTGGCTCGAGTGACAATTACTTGTTGGACCAGCATCATGACTTACAACTACATGAATGATCCCATGACTCCTTCCAAGGATCAGATATTCTTAGATGGAGCACCGCCGGACAATCTCGTGCCCTCCGGATTTGTCGAGTCTCGTATACGGCAACTCAATATCAGGTCAAGCAAAGATCGACCCAAGATTCAGAATTCGCTGCATGTCGCAAATGTGCGCGAAGGCGAAGAGGTTTGCAGCCCTGCTTGCCAAGGCACACGGCTTGAAGTTACTGCTTCACCTCCAGTCGGACATTCGTATCCGGGCTTGAGAATTAATGACAATCCCAGCGATGACATTGGAGTTGCTTGGGAAGCGTCATCAATAAGCGCTCATATGTACAATGTCAAGCCAAGCTTGAGAGCATCAAGATCAACCAATTCTATAGGTTTACGGAGCCCAACTCGGGGCCCTAGCAGATTCCGGGGCTCGCACAGGTCGAATAAGTCTGCCTGCAACCGAGCCGACGATTCAAATTTGGACTAGAAGTCTTCTGGGCGCTTCCAGGCTAGCACGCGGGCATCACTGTCGACTATTCAAACAGCACAACCGACTCTAAATGACTCCACAGAGGAACAGAAAGACGCACAGGATATGTTTGGCCTGTTTGGGGCCTCGCGGCCTGAAGGTTGGTTGTCAGATGAACTAGAACAGCAACAGGATTCGCGAATGAAGACTGTTCAAATATGCCATTCTTGTGGTGGCTTCTTGCATTCACGGTCACGGTGCGCAAGATGCGGACACGAATTTTGTTTCAAGTGTAAAACCGAGCTGGTGAGTGCCTTGGCCACGACCATTTCAGCAGATCGCGTATATGCGCGAGAGCAAGAGAAGTCGGAACTAGGGGGATGGCGCCAAGGAATAACTCACAGCCAAAGCCTTGGGAATCTATTTGAGTCGAACAGGGAAGGCAGAAGTAGGTGATACGCAGGCTCAACTCACAAGATTAGAAATAATTTATGATGTAGGGAGCCATCGACTAGCTCAATCAAAGAGCCACGACTCAGTCACTGGCGATTTCAAAGAAGGTCAGGCAGAACGCAGTCAGATAGAAAGGCAAGCACGCCAGCAATTTCGATATGAACGCCGACAGCGCCTGGAAAAATCCTACAGCGACCCGATCAATCCTGAACAACCATCTGACTGTCCAACTTGTCATACAAGTAGTGATCCAGCGAGACATAGCATCTGTTGCCTTGCTCGCCAATTCCCATCGAGGCGGCGAATGGATGATCGACCCAATCTGAGCAAAGATAAGGCGATGTACGAGAGTGGCTCAAAGAATTCCTTCAAATCCTTTTACAGGCAAAATGAAGCAGAAATGGATGTCATACAGGCCACTTCACTCTCATCCGATTATAAGACCGCGGAGCCTTGCTTGTCTCAGCAACCGGAGCATGAGGTTTTATCTAGCGGAAAAGCAGGTGAGTATGAATTAAGCATCGATATAAAAACATTTAAGACGGACGAGACTAATGAATATGGATATATATTAGGCGGAGCTGCATCGTCCTCAAAAAGATCGTATGCTCATGATCTGCGGGCTAACAATACCTCACGCACTTCATCTCGCCGAAGAGCTCACGATCTGGCCGACGATGTCACTACAAATGCTCAAAGAGCTCTTTATAACTTACACAGCATTGATGAAGATACTTTTTGGACTAACACTCAAGATCCACACACTTCTCGGCATGCTGCAACGTCTAGAAATGGTGGGAAAGATGCTTCAAGGTTTAGCTTAGAAGGAGCTGAGCTTGAGAATCTGGATTCAGAAAATATAGGGGGTTCACCACCAGGCAAGGCTGCCACGACTGCCACGGCTTCACAGCGTATACCACTATCTCGAGAGAATAGCAGTACAGTAGCGCGTCGTCAGCATAAGTCCAAGTATGGGCCGATAGAGGACACTGAAGCAACCCAGTTGCTGCAAAGAAATACAAACTCGCCAACCAAAACAGCCATCGGCGTAAGTCCAAAAACGCCGGAAAGGGGAGTCGGAGCGACGATTGAATCTGAAGATTCGCTCAGGAGGTTCGGCGTCGCCAACTCAACGAAGAGTTCGAAACGAAATATTGAATCTTCTGACGTCTCAACATGGAAACAACAACTGAGAAAAGTTGGTGACGCGAGGAGCAACTCTCCAAAAAAGCCATATTCGCCATTGGCTGCCGGATCTCAGTTGCACTCTTCCCAGTCTCCAACTGCATTTCTTCAAAACGAAGAAACAGTCACCCGGTCAACAAGAGGATATGGGGCAGAGACTGAGGAGCAAACTTCTAGAGCACAAAAGCAGAGGGAACCTATAAAAGATAGCATGGAGAGCATTCTGGCAGAAAATGATAAAACAGCGCCAAAGATAACTCTTACGGCCCCTGACGATGATTCTGAGATGCCATCTAGTCACCACATTTGCGAGTGGCGCTCACGGTATCTAGGGCTAAGTGCTGCGTTTGATAAGTTGCAATGTGAGCTAGATGTCGCGCTACAACAACAAACCAATCTAGGTACTGGTGGAAAAGAACTGGGGACAGCTTCACATAACAACGGATACGTTAACTACGGCATCGAGGGTTTAACGATCATCGTACACAGAAGAAGCAAGGAGGATTTAGTCCTCAATACAGATTTGAGAGAAGAGGAATTCAGCGATATTGGAGAGTAGCAATGAAGCTTCTTCACTGGCTGGAAAGGTATACAGTGGGGTTTATGCCATATGAAAGTATTTGTTACCTGTATCACGATGAACTGCTCTGAACGACGATTTGGTAGACCAGTATCTGAATATCAGGCAGTCCATAAGTCAGAAAAGAAACAATATCAACAACCTTTCACTGAAGAAGACTTGACGACATAAAAGGCCGAACTTTGCGATACTTTTCCAAAGCCATGAGCCACTTCCCATCGTCCAAGCCAGAAGCAAAATGAGTTGAACATGACGAAGCCAACAGCCCTCTCCCGCTGTCCAGCTGTCTCACACCAGGCGGCAGGTTCTGCCACTATTGGCGTTGATACGCGACTAGACCGACGCTGCCTAACGTACTAGACTGCCTATGAACTGTCATTCGCTACACTAATTGATCCAGATATTGGATATCACTCTTTCAGGGGAAGGGTCCTACAACACACAACACTCTCACGTCTATTGGACAAACTAAAAGGGGGGCGTGTATCTACGTCTGAGTCAAACGCGAGTGTAACGACGGTACGCAAAGGAAGGCCAAAAAGAACTGGGCTTTGTTAAGGAAACTCCTTCTTTTGACTGGACAATTATACGGGAGAGCAAATATACCTGGAGTCCTTTGTCGATCTTTCGGAGAGTGAGCACCTAGGCAGTTTGATTCCCACCTGATTCTCACGTCCTGTCATTTCCTCATCCGACCTCACCGCACTAGATCATATGCCTACCTGCCTACATACCTACTTCTGCTAACTGGCTAACAGGGAAAAGATTTGTTGTCATATGCACGTTTGCGTGGACTGCCTTGCCTATTCGTCCATGTTTCGAATCACATGCCTCTTTTTCTTTTCTTGTTGTTATTTAGTATTACCCCATTGTTCGTTGTCACGGCATATGTAAGTAGCCTGATAAGAGAAGTGAAGAATGAACAGAATGAAAAGAGATACACACGCCCCCCCATGAAACAATAACTTTACAAGTATGTATGTACATTCTACCCAGCCCCCTTGTTTTTTTTTTTTTTTTGGTTTTTGTTCAATACTCCCCCCCTTGTCTGTCCTTCCGTGCGTATGTGTGTGTGTGTTGTACAGTAGGTGCTTGTTTAGTTTACATAGGTGTATATCTAGATGGCGGCAAGCATGAAGAATGATCCTTTGTCCTACTCTGCCGCGTTTACTAAAATGCACTTATTCCCAAATATGGGTTGATTCGACTTCGTTGGCAGCCCGGGGGGATCCCCCCCCCTCAGATCCCTTTTTTTCCCCATCTTCCCCCATCACGAGGGATGGATGGACTGGGTCCCTTTGGATCGAGTCTCGTGGCATCCGAATAAGCGCCAAACGGGAAAACGTGCTAATGCCAAAATGCCAAAATGCCAAATACCAAATACTTAGTCTGCTGCCCGGGTGCTGTTGCTGCTATTCCCAGCGTGGCTTTGCGTCAGAAGCGGGCATCTCTGCAGTAGATAGACAAACATACATGCCAACTACCTACTTACTATCCGTACGTATGATGTAGGCATACATACGACCATGGAATAGGCCTCATGTACTGTAACTAGTACCATAATCATATCATGAAGAAACATGCCAACATGTCAATGGGGGTACGCAACTGGGACTTATCCACACGCTTGAAGATTTACTAGGTACCTTGTTGACGCTGCAAAAAAGTCCTCAGTCTGCTGGCCAAGCCCGCTCTCGTCTTTGATGACGCCGCGCTTAGGATTTTTTCCTTACTGTACACACCCGCTGGCAATGCTACTCTAACTTGATACACGTGGGAATGGCCTTATTCTTCTGCTGTCCTATCCTTTTGAGGGCAGCTGGGGCTTCGGCCAGGCCGCGGTTAGCGAACCCGGGGGAAGAAAAAAACATACACATACATACCTAGATAGAGTGAGGATGCTACTACTACTACTACTAACTATTACGGGGCTTGTGCGTGAGAAAAGAGTGGTTATGCTTTGCGTGATATCGGTGTAAATTGGAGCAAACAAAAGGCTGTAACAAGTACCGAGACAGACGAAGGAAAAGGAGCGGTCTGCGAAACCACGAAAGAAAAAGAAAAGAAGAAAAGAAAAGAAAAGAAAAGCATAATCTTGGCGGCATATCTTTGGGCAAAAGTATGCTTTGTGTAGAGTAGAGCTGCAACGCAATAGTGAGCCGCAAGGAGAAAGACAACGTTGCTATTCTTAGATGTTTGTGCTCTTCTCACCTACGACGGCTGCTAGGGGTGAGAGACAGAGAGCAGCGGGGAAGAGAAACGAAAAGGTGGGAATTCCGAAATAGCAGGGCAGCAATGACGGTTCAGTGCAGGCATCAATCGGATCCCCGAGGATGTCTTCATGAGGCCATCGTGAGGTTTGAGTCTCCTCTCCCTCCAACTCACCCTCGCAGCCTTTTTTTCTTTCTTTTCACCGACACGTTCGAAAAGAGACGAGGACGATGGGGCACGTTGGTTAGGGGAGCCCGGTCAGCTCTGCCAACACACCCATGTCAGCCCAACAGCGGGACAGCCCTTTTCAGGTTGCCAGCACGCCGGGTCCATTCGTCTGCCTCGCAGGATCAGCAGGGTTCGGCCATGGGCATCATGGACAGGGTGGAGAGCTGATAGTCTAGTAGTAGGTACCTGGTATGTACTGTATGTAGTAAGTATGTAGGATACCTGGTCAGAGTCGAGTTGACAGCACCTCGAACACGCAAAAAAGGGAGGGAGGTCTGAGGTGGCAGACTTTGACAGGATGGCGTTGCTATCAATGGCGCTCTGTGATGTGAGCGAGCATGAGGCCAAGCCCACAATGGAGACGGGCATGCCGTTTCGGCATGGCAGGCATGGCAGGCATGGCATCGAGTAGCATGAATGGAACCAGGTGTCGAGGCTGGCCACAGACACGCCGTGCTTGTGCTTGTATATACCAGTACTCCCTGTGTTCCTCTAGACCTAGGCTCGCATGCGTCTCGCCGCCGTTGAAGACAAAGCGTGCAGACGGCCGATGATGGAGAGCCACGGCTGGCCACTGTGATCAGCACGCCCGACACCATGTTTGCTACGCCTGTGGGGTTGCTTCCGCACGAAAAAGCAGAAGGCTGGGGCCTCGATGGGAGCACGTTGACGGGTGAGTGACAGGCGGATCAATGGACGCCAACGAAGCCGAGCATCTGCCAGCCAGTCAAGGCGGTCCAGCGTCCAGCGTCCAGCGTCCAGCGTCCAGCGTAGTAGCACAGGTATCTGTGACATGGCTGGAGAAGGCCCTCCACCTGCATGAGGGCATATACCGCGTGCCTCGTATAGGTATCCCATCCAGCAAAGTAGGTAGTATTACATCCCTCTATCGCAAGCATCTGGAACGGGGTTTGCTGCGCGACAAAGTACGTACAGCACGCCCTGCGTCTACCTCAGGTCAGCATCTCGTGGCTTTTGCCCAGCACTTTTGTTCTTTGTTTCCTCTTATAATCGTCCCAATTGATCAAGTCTCCTGTGACGTTCCCTTTCATCCTCCCTCTCTTTCTTCACAATGCATTGCCCATACTGTAAAGACATTAGGACAAACAAGTCACTGGCTCGCACACAATAGGCGGCCCGCTAATGCTTTCGTGCTGTTGCAAAGCCCCAAAGGGGGTTTAGAAGAGGCTGGGAACCCCTGGTCCCGGCTCTACTTGTTTTTCTTTTCGTTCTTCTATTTCTTGGCTTCGCTGTCTTGACCAGGGTGAGTTAGTTAAAACCACCCGGAAGAAAGCGGTGTAGGAAGCGGCAGTAATCCATCCGCAGCGCCTAAAATGTTTTTGTCGATGGTTGCATGCAGTAGTAGCCCCAAATAAGGACGGCAGATAAACCAAAGCGAGACAGCAGTATCGCAAGTCTCAACACCAAGCAATTGGTCCCAGACTGGCCCATAAACAGGTCTTCAGGAGGCCGAGAAGGCCGAAAATCACAGCATCAAAGCATCACACGCGCTCTCCCTCCCCCCCTCCACATCACTTACCTGCAGTACTCCCTCAATCCATCCATCCACTCCTCCTCTCTCAATCGCAGAGCGAGCATAGCAAGCGAACATCTTGACCGCATCAATGCTAGCCGAGCTTCGTTGTCTCTTCTCCCCCCCTTGCACCAACGCCCGCTCTCACGGCCCAGAATTCCCGTCGCAAGTCTTGGCTCTGATATCCAGATCGAGATGCCTGCAGCACGCACTTGCTTTAGTCTATGTATCGTATGCATAACGATAGCGCCGCACGTTTTCCCTTTGCGTCGCCCCCTGTTCCTTGTTTCTTCTCTCCCTCTGTGTGCCGTTTCGTGCTTGTACCACTAGTAGTTCCTGCAGGCCAAGTGGCCCTGTGTGCGTTTGCATTTGCTTGGGACAGAACTGCAGCCGCATGCTACGCTGGTTGCGCTAGGTGGCCTCAGGGCGCCGACAGACGCCCCAGTCGTGTTCGAACGTGCAGCATAGCGGTGTTTGGGGGCCGTTTATCGGCTAGGCCTGTGCTTTTCTGGCACGAGTACCTAGTCGCTCGTCCTCGTCGACTTTGCAGGTCTTGGAGCTGTCGTGGCTTCGAGAATACGCTTCCCCTGTCTCCTTGGTCATGGGCGATGGAGGCTAGAGCCGCCCAAGTCGTCTCCACTTTGTTCTTTTGTTCTTTTCATGACTCTTCCAGTCACAGCCTCTCCATAATGGCGGCCCATAGTGGGATGTTAGTACGAGAGCTCCGTCGTAGCTGGGCAGATGCCCTGGTCCAAAGCGACGTGACCGAACCGCCCCGAGCGTGCGGGGCCGGGAATCCGGAGACCGGGGCCGGGGGTCGTAGCAGGCGGTGAGGCGGAACCAGGGGGTTCGAATGGGGGTCGCTTGAAGTCGGGTCTGCAAAGTTGGGCTGGCGATGAAGCCAAGGCTTTGGACAACGGATAGCAGCGGTGAGCGGTCGCTCCCTTCCTCTCTACTTTCAAAGGCTGTTTATGCTAGCAAGAGCATCGTATGATGGCTGGGATGAGCCAGGCTTTGCATTGACCAGATACTTGCCAGCTTCCTCTGCTGCTGACCGGTTCTTGAGCTTTGACGTCTGAAGGGGGTTCCTACTCACACTCCTAGGATAGATGTAAGTCTATCCATGTCAAGCTCAAGCCACCAGATCGATCCGCAGTGAAGAGATGGAGGATTTTGTGGGCTTGATGTACCGTTAGCATGTAGACTAGCAGTTTGTCATATTATCATTTCAGCAAATCTCTAATGTTATCACCCTCCATGACGCAGAGAGACTAGATGCGATCATTGAAAGTGAATGCTTCGAAGCTGCGGCCAGTCATATGACCAAGTCAGGTGTTTAGCATCCATGGTGAGTCTGTTTCTCAATTGACCCCTTCTTTCATGAATTGTGGGCGGCATATCTATTGTCATCACATCGCAGAGTGCCTACCTGTCCGTATATGATGTTTGCATCTGGGATTTCCTTTGCAGGCGGTCTGTCTCAGGCCTGCATACTTGGCGTCCCGTAGGCGGGCCTCACTCCCACTCGAGAGTAGTATTAGCTTTCTCTTGTTTGCTTGCTTGCTTCCATGGAGCAAACAGGGCGCATGAAAATCTCGTAGTGTTAATTATTGAAAGTTAAGCATGCCTGAATGTGTATTTTCGAAAAAGAGTTGTTCGACTATGGGCGGTTTAGACCAAGTTAAACAGCTCCATTCACATAAAGGGTCTATGTAATAGGTATCAGGCGTCTGTAGTCTCCGCTTACCAGGCTCCTCTCGCTCGTAACCAATGCGATGTCGGCGTTAAAGCTGCAGTTGTTAGGGCGAATGCTTGCTGCTGCTGCTGCTGCTGCTGCTGCTGCTGATGTCCTTGGTTATAACCTGAACTTGAAAAGATCCAATCCAGTGGTCCCCACATCAACCTTAAAGATACTGCCGCCATACTTCTTACTTAGATCATTGCCCTCGTCGTCCGCTGCTGAAGTGATGACGAGCTCTGTACCCACAAACTGCACACAGGTGATGTGCCTTGTCGGTAAAGTTACGCTTCCAATAACCTTACCTTCGGGGTTGATCTTGAGCACCGTGCTCTCGCCCCAAATGGCATGCCACACGTTCCCATCCACGTCAACACGGAAGCCATCAGGCTCTCCTGGTCCTTCATGCTGGTACCACAGGCGTTTGTTGCTGACAGCTCCAGTCTCGAGAGAGTAGTCAAATGCAAACACCTCTCGAGATTTGGAGTGCGTAAAGTACATCGTTTTGTTATCTGGTGACCAACCAATCCCATTGGGAATGCTCAAGCCCGTCAGCACATCCTCTCTAGACTTGGGCGAGCCAAAGCGCGCAAGAAATCCTATCAAAGGCCATTGGCGTCAGCATTAAATAGCCAATCACAAGGAGATGAGCATAAGATAGACCAGTGAAAGGCCGCCATACCTTCGGGCTGGGGCTCTCCGTACTCAATGTCAGTCATGCTTCCTAGCCACAGCTTTCCATGAGGGTCTGCCGCTCCATCGTTGGATCGTATGCGCTCGTTATTTTGTTCATTGAACGGCACAAGCATTGCGTACGTCCCAGCTTGGCGGTCCAGCACAGCGACTCCATGCTTGACACCGATCAGGATACGATCCTGAGGGTCCACTCCCTCAATATCGACTGTGACGGTTGGGCGCGTATCCAGCTGAATCACTCTCAGAGAGGAACCATCTCCCTTATCAGCAGCGGATACAGTAAGTATCTGACTCTTTTTAATGTCAACGAGGCGCACTGAGTTCGTCTCCTTCTCGTAAAACGGCCCCTCCCCAAGTGCGCATTTTAGCTCAAGCCAAGGCTTGTCCACTTTCCACTGCTGTAAGCCGGGACTTGCCATTGTTCTATCACGCGAAGTAGTTGGAGCTTTGATATTTTCCAGGATTTAGTTGGAAAACTTGCATCCAGATACAATCGAAGATGTTATATCTTTGCTCGAGCGATTCCGGAGTATCTCTGAGGAGCAAATGGCGGGGTAGGAGTTAATGTGGAGTTTTACGGAGTAATTCCCGGTAGGATAGATTGGCCCCGATATAACGAGCAATATTGGCCAAGCTACCCGGTGATGTCGGAATAATCAAGTCTGTCAGTTGAAGCAGAGCCAACTCGCCAGTTTCTGTAAAGAATGGCATGCTAGCTATGCTTGAGACTAGCCTGGTTGCTTTTGTCTGATTATTGTGACCTTCATCAGCAGAGAGGAGAGTCCGGTAAGCTGAGCTATCTCAGGAACACTCATCTTGGCAAGTAAATTCTTCATTGCGGTGCCCATGGCGAAGTATAAAGAGAGCCAAGTGTTTCGACAAACATGTAGGCATAAAAACAACTCTCCTTTGACAGGCTTCTCCCTCTTTCTTTAGCATGTGAACATGCTAGGGTTACTGTCGTGTCATCACACCAAGCAGCGTTACAACCACCGCAAGCATGTGCAAGCTGCCCCAAGGACCTTATCCGACATAGCGAATCACGTCGCCAGCGGTTACCATCAGTCAAGTTTCACGTGGCTGCTGGCTGATGCGGATAAGCGCTGGCGATTATGATGTCTCAAATTGCATCTCGTTAAACCAGCTTACTCCGAACTTGTCACGGTTATAGCCCAGAACCAACCGGGCTCGGAACTCGTAAACCGCTAGATGCTTGCATGTAGTACCCGGGCTGGGACCCTGTCCCCTGCTATGCCACATCCCGTGCAGGTAGGTATTCTACCAACAGCAATGTGCATCCGATGTGGGAGTAATGGATGATCCACGTAGGTGATAGGCATACTAGGTAGTGTACTGCTGTTAGTGGTAGTATATAGGAAGAGCAATGTTGCACAGAAGCAGCATGTGATGCTAGTAACGGTGAGAATAGTAATATATGTCTCAGAGCTGACTTGTGCGCCCCGCCTGCGTTAATTGAACCTTGTAGTCGCATAGAAGTACGCCTCGCTTTAACTACGGGCAGCCATTGAAGCCCGAAACCAGCATCGTTCATGTTTCTTCCCGCCCATGCACCTGCATCTGAGCAAGAGGAATACGCAGCTCGAGAACTCTCGAAGTCGGGGCATCGGCTTCTTCGAGCCTGCTGTTGACCACCTAGTGATGCGGATATCAACAAGCCCACCGCTAATAGTCGGCTGCCACGTCTGGCATGCAGCAAAGCTTGTGGGGCTGAGATGTGCAGCCAACAATCACCACCACCACCACCACCACTCTCTTCGTTTTGTCACAACACACACTTGTACCTCTCGTATTGTTGTCAAGTGTAAGCGACCATTCGCTCCACTAGGGATTCTGTGATTCGGGTTGGCCGTTTCGCAACATGTTCCAGCGCATTCAATAGGACACCGTTGGGGTAGCGCCAGCACCATGACAGGCGAGGCTCATCACCTCCCCTAGCCCCTCGCTCTGTCGGCCGATGCTATCGGAGAACAGCCGGGCTCCCTTCCATCCTGTAGCTCTCGTGGAAGCACCACGTACGACTGGCAGGCCCACCGTAGAGTGCTGCATGAACCGGGTAGGCGGATGGAGTCAGTAGTCCACGGTAGTTTGCAGGGACCGGTTGCTGAGCTTAGTCTGCATGCAATGCATGCCATAGATACATACGTACGGAGACCTCGTCGCGTCATCTGGAAGACCCCTTGCTCTGGCCTGCTCCATTATCCCCATCTGATGTCCACCCGCCTGTACACAAAGTACTGAGAGCGTTCTCACATGTACTCTGTACCCGGAGTTGTAAAGTTTGCTGGTTAGTTCATGTTCTCTCCCATACCGCGAGCATGGGTGGCATGGGCCGTGAAAGATCTGGTTCCTCTCCAAGACATGTTCCGCGGGATGGGAGCCGCTCTAGTATCGCGGTAGCAGTAGGTACTTCGTACGTAGCATGTAATTTCTCAGCCCCAACTAGGCGCAAAAAGCAGCCCGCAAGATATAGCGCATGTAGATTAAGAAAGAAGAAAGAAGAAAAAGAAAAGAAAAGAAGAAAACACGATGGATACCTTTGTGGCGCTGCACTACCCAGATTGCCAGCCACCGCCCTTTGGGACAAAGCTTACAATGAGCCAGCCCATGAGCGCAAGACTCTGTGCCTTTCAGGAGCTGCTGTACCGCTGTTGCAAAATCACCAAAAGAGTCGCAGCCTGGCTGAACTAGAACTAGGGACGGGCCGCCGAAGTAAAGAAGTTTATGGGTTGAGTTGGCGTCATAGTTTCTGCTCTCGCTATAGCTGCGGTTCGTTAAATTGCTGTCGATGGTTGGTGCCTGCGCTAGAAAGCAAGACAGCTTGCATGTGCATCGTACCATTCATCCCAGCCGTGAATCATCTAAGAGCCTGTGATGAATCTCGAAACTTGCTTCCCATATACGGCATACAGCATGCACCGTTCGTTTTGAAGATCTACTAGAGCACTTACTAGTTTGACCAGAAGCACAGCGCCACACTAGGGTTGGGCACCAGTAAGTCTCTGGCTCCAATGGCTCCAAGGTCAAATTGGGCTGCTTGCCTTGGGTGGCGACCACCTGACCGCTAGTGATCCAAAATCGCCAGCTGAAAAAGGGCCTTGTAATGGACGAGAGCATTCCGCACATGCCTTGGCCTTGCTAGTGTAGTGCTAACGATAGGATGTATACTGTAGAGCAGCGGCATTGGGTTATTAGGGAAGGAAGCTCAGACGATGCCCGATCATCGTCACCCCCTTGCGGAAGAAGGGGCTCCAGAAATCAGCCACTCATATCGGCGCTTCGCCATGATGGCATCCTTTGTGACGGGTGACGATGCAAGCCATCGAGTCGCAAGACTGTGACAGAAGCTCCGCTTCTCTTATAACCCTAGTCGACCTCATTTCTCGTCTCATTTCGTCTTTAAATTGACCTGGTGCCCAGCAATGCTAGCGTTATAATAGAGCGTACAGCGCCTCGCCGTGTTACTCAGCTCTACTCTGCGAATCCCTGCAAATACATATCGATATAGTATTTGCAGGTACCAGTTGAAGTAGGTACTGGCTCTTGTATTCTGTAAAACCGCGTGAGAGCATTGTCATAGTGTGCTACCCCAATCTCGAAACGGCGAAAGTCGCTCGCTCACTTGAGACATCAGGTGAGATTTGGGGCTGGCTGAATAAGATGTAAGTCGATATCCACAGCGTCTCCCTGCCCGTCGTCACAGAGTGATGGGACAAGTGCAATCGGAGACAAACACTTACGCTAAATGTATTCGTCCCCCAATACATCCTGATGCATCATCTCCCCGGAAATTTTTTCCCAGCAGTTCCGCATCGGACGGGCGAATAGGTTACGGCATCCCGCTGCAAAAACCACAGAACTGGGTTAGGTGTAAAACAGCGTCAACGCGCATGTGTGCGAGTGCATGTGGCGAGGGACGGCCGCATAAAAGGCCTCGAGGGGAACGTATCTCGGCAGCACAGGTTGGGATTTGAGCCCTTGGCCCCCGCGTCGAGAGACATGGCAGGGCCCGGGAGTCAGGGACGGGCGTGGAAGCTAGTCGAGGCCGTGCATGCGCGATGCGTGATTGACACTATACTAGCCGCCCTGGCGTTCTGGTTGGAGCCAATGACATGTTAAGCACCCGCGGAGACGGGGTACTGTTCTATCCAGTAAGCAATCTTGGCGATGCTTTCCTACTGTACTGTAGAAAGTAGCGTGTGAGCATGGCACATTACTGCGTATATATCATGGCCAACGCATACACACATACTGCTAGTAGTGGTACGTACCTACTCCATATCGGCTTAAGCATAGCCTGGAGGGGAGTGGCCATTGCTACTGTAATGTGAAATCAAATGACGGCATGAAGTGCTTGAAATTAAAAGATGGTGATAGAATTTGCAATTGTACACTTCGTACCCCATGCACAATATTTCTTCTCATCTCGCTGATCCCAGCTGCGTTGTACGCCTTTGCAGATTTGTCCTTGTTGTCCTGTCTTTGGATTTCGTATATTATTACTGCATGTACAACAGACCTCACATCGCACTGTATTTAGCCAAAGGTCAAGATCCAAGGCTGCCCAGACTTGCTTGTACGAGACAGCGTGAGCGTTTCTGAGGGGTATATGCATGAACGAACATACCTACTGCTCGGAGCGACGGCGGGTTAAGCCGGGACCAATAAATGATAGAGTACCGACACAAACTAGTAACAAGTAAGCAAGATGAGAAAAAAAGAGAAACGATAAATTTGGCCTTCATGACATATCGCCTTCGAGTGAGCGCCAATTGACAAGAGTGTAACAGGGAATCCAAGTAACAAGGATATAGAAATGCCTGGCATCAGGGCGGGGCATTCTGGTCTGTGCAAGTGAGATCATCCCATCAAATCGTAAAGCCTTATTGGGGATAAAATTGGTGGTTGGGGTGGTTGGCCCTTCAGTTGAGCGGCGATGACGAGCGAGACCGGCGTACTTTGCGCAAGCAGGTAAATCCTTCGAGACTTAACCAGGACTCCTTCGCATGCATGTTCCAGGCCAGCCGCCATCGATTTTGATTGAAAGACATGCATTAAGTACTCCGTACTATCGGCTGCTTGGTAGCAGCAGGCAGGGGCCGAAAGTGAGAACTTTGCATTGGAAAATGGAGCGTCTAAGACATGGCAGAGGCTTCCTTTGCCTGGCTTCGTCAAGTGAGTTGCAGAAGTACTGATACCAGTATAAGTGCCTGCGACGTGGCCAATGCGAGATTACATGGAAAAGGAAAGGGTTCGGACGGTGTCTTATTTTCTTTGGAGCGTAAGAGACAGCCTGCACTGAGTGTTGTTGTCATGAGGCACGGACTAGACAGATGCAGGTGCTAATTGACCGGGTAGGGGTTCGACGATACACCGCCGTACATGCTGAGCAGAGAGACAA